CGCTCGGAGCCTGCGAGAGGAAAGAAACAGGAGGAATAAATAGTTGAGATGAATTTCAAAAAGGTGGTGGGTGACAGCTGTGCGTCCTAGGATTGGAGTGTTTCTGAGAATAAAACCATCAGTTGCTGTCATTCACCCTCCGGGTATGAAATTGGAAGCCCAGTTACCCTTGAGTGTTTCATAACCTTTACCTTTTGGAGGTCAAGGCCATGTCATCATTAATCTACCATCGCCTGAAAGCCTCGGGGCTCTGCTTTTCATCCTGCCATCCGTCATGCTGCGGCGAGATACAGGAGAGTGACCAGAAGGGTCCGGTTTTATACACACATTGGGCACACACCCTTCCATTCTCCGAGAATGAAAACACCGAGGATGCGATTACGGAGGCTCGTGTCTGTCTTCTGCATTTGTGATGAGGATACTCCGGGCTTCATCTGCAAATCCAGAGCAGTTTCCTCTTGGGGATGCTTTAATCTGCGGAGAAAGAAGCACTTTGCCCATGCAGCATGAAACTTGGCCTCGGGGGCAGAGGTTTCGTAACGACGTGGGCTTTTAAAATACAGAGTGGGTGCACCAAGCAAGTCATTTCCCTGCACGTCGGGGAGCTGCCCCTTTGAAGAAGGCCGTTGCCTTATCTTCTACGTGGCTGTTATTGTGCAATGAGCCTGGCCAAAGCAGGGCAGCGAGCTGTGATCTGACAACGGGATAGCTGCAGACGACAGCTGAACACGGGGAGCATCTCCCCTGCGTTGGTCCCTTTCCCCTGGTCTGAATCTGTGCCAGGGTCTGCCGGAGAGCCAGGCTGGTTCTTCATCCTTCTCCCTACCCCGCTGCTCGGGATGAGCCTGAACGTTACTCCTGAAGTCTCATTTCATAGCACGCACATGTTTAATCTACGCGTCTGAGACCTGGGTGCTGTGAGCAGAGAGGGGTGTGTTAATGGGTGGTGGGGCCTTGCTTGGCCTCGTCCTTTGCAGCCGCTCGCTCGCTGCGGAGGTCAGGGATGCTCGTGATGAATCATTTATTAGAAGCTTGTAGGTGCTGGGGGCCGAGGGCGGCTCTCCTCTTCTTGCCCTGAACACCAAAGGCAGTGAGATGCTTTTAGGTGATCTGGGATCAACTTTTGTCCGCCCTTTAAGAGCGAGGCCGACGGTGCGGTTTTCCCCTCTAAAAGTTTGAGTCCTGCAGGTAAGTTAACCAGAATATCGCACCGCGGCACTGCTGCCGCAGCTCCTTATTCCGCCGCTGCAGGAATTGCTGCTTGCAGCTTGCCGAGCTCAGGTGGGAGAGGAGAGCGGCAGGCTGGCTGTCAGCGAGGGGCTGAGATCTCCCTTGCAGGGAGCTCGTGTGTTCAAAGGTAACCAGCTGTGCTCTGCCTGCCCCGAGCTGGGATCCAAGCGGGGATCCGCTCTGTTGGCAGGGCAGCGGTGAGTGCCAGAGCTCTGCGCACCATGGAAACCACGAATTAATGCCTTTTGGCATTAACTCTTCCAGCACCAGCGGTAGCACTTCTGCCTTCTCCCGGGAGAGAGGGAACGATCCTCTTTTTAAATGGATCCTTCTCTCTTTTGGGAATAAGCGATACGAGGCAGAGGACAAGCGGTTAAACCTGGATTTAATCAGCGCTGACGGGCGCTCTTCCAGGCTGGAGCTGTACAGCCCCTATTGCCCTTCGGGACCTCTTCCCGGGAGCTCCCCCACTCGTGTCACTCGCTTCAAGAGAAACAAGACTGCTTGAAGCCCGAGATTTCTGTGGGTGCTGCACGGGGCTCGCTGAAACGCCGTGGTGCAGAGGGGCGAGCCCCCTTTCCTCGCTTGGCACTCTCATTCTGGTTCTCTTCATCCCTCCGCTCAGTTCTAGTTGTCCCTGCCTGGAAGAGGGCAGGCAGCAGCTTGGGGACATCAGCCTTGGGGACAAAGGGGCCTGATTCTGCCTGGGGTGGTGCAGAGTCTGCTCCCTCGGTGCCAGGAATCTGTGGGGTTTAGACCGGGCACTCCAGACGAAGAGGGAGCCCGGATCTCGCTCAGAGATGAAGCGGATCCCGAGGCAGATTCCCGTGGTGGTGGGATGCTGTTACTGACAGCAGCCCCGGGCGGAGCTGTGCCAGCGCCCTGCGGTCCCCCAGATGAAATTTAGGGGTCAGAATTAAAGCTTTGGGATTGCATACAGTGCATGCGCTTGTGTAAATGCTCCCTTGTTACCAGATCGCAGGAAGGACTTTGCTTCAGGGCTTGGGGTCCTTCATAAAAGCTTTTTTCCCCCTCTTCCTTCCCCCACCCCGCTTTTGTAGACAAACTACAAAATAACTATCGTGGCGTGAGTGCAAAGGGAACAAGCCTAGAAGTAGTAAGGTTAGAAAATAAATCTGACATCCTGCCAGAAAGGTCAGCTTTCCCTGCAGATGCTGGTGCACCCATTTGCACGCCGGAGCACGGCCCCGGGGCACTACCAGGGGTTGATAGATGCAGAGATAGCAGCGTTTTGATAGAGGTAATTTTCCTCAGATGGGTTTCAGCACCCCATGAATCAAAACCTGTCAGCGAGAAGCTAAAGATGGAGTGAAGTTTATTGTACGCGTGTTTGCATCTGACACTGTCGTGCTAGGGGGTCAAGTGAGCGAGATCATTAGGACCGTGTTGATTTAGTAGGACGGTTATGTGCTTTCCCTGCAGGGCAGTGGTGGGGGCGGGAGGCATGGGGGTGGCTTACCGAAAAAATAAATAAAAACCTACAGCTCGGTGCAGTCCCTAGGAGCCTCCCCTGTCCTTTTATTAAAGACACAGCGCTTTTCTTCTTGAAAGTGGCTTTGGGGCCATCCTCTTGCTCGTAGGATTTAAACCACGCGGGCAGCAGTGATGGTTTTTAAGAGCCTGCTTCATGTCGCTGTCGCACAGGTTGGATTTTCTTTGTGTGGCGACAGCTTGTGCGTAGGTTGTGCTGCTCCAGTGAGCAACTTTTTCTTCTCTTCCCTGTCCCTGTGATGATCATCCCTCCCACTGCCCTTTGTTCGCAACCCTCAAGTTCTGCTGCTTTTCTGGGACGTTGCTTCTTCCCGAAAGCTGGACTAATCCTAACCTGGATTGGGTGCCGGGTCGGGAGAGGGCTCTCGGCTGCTCCCCCACGAGAGCCTAGGACAGATGCATACCTGCTGTCCCCCTCCATCCTCCTCCATGAAGTGGGACTGGGGAGGGCCGAGGGTGGTTTAACCTTTGCTCATAGCTTCGCTATCAAACCACGGAAAGGAGGACCGGCAGAATAGAGCAGGTGGGCGAAGGTGGCGGTGTCCTAATGCCGGAGCCGTCTTAAAACAGTCCTGCGCAGAGGATTTCTGGGAAGGAAGGTTAAGCTGCGGGCTCGGCGGGGCTGCCAGCGCTTGCCACGGCGTTCGGCAGCCGTCCCTGCGGTGAGGGGCTGGAACGCACGGGGAGGCATCAAACGCGTTTGGGCCACGGCTGCTGGCGGCTTCCTACGGAGCTGGAGCTTGTGAGAACCTCGGAGCTTTCGGTTCAAACGCCTCAGCCAGCCCTGTTGCCACAACACACGTCCGTGTCAGGAGTAATAGTGCAGAGCAGGTCGCGGTGGCCTCGTTTATATAAGGTGTTGACACGGGGAGGTTACCCCGCTGCTCGCTAACGGGGTGCCCGGTGCCTCTCTCGGTCAAATTTGGCTGCTGATGGCTGCTCGAGCTTAAACGGATAAGCTTCCAGCTTGATCCCTTTGTTTGGCCGGCTAATTCCAGTTGATCCAGGTGGAGCACTGGGACTTGAAGCGTATTTTCTTGGGAATTGTGCCCTTGTTTTCCTTCTGCCTGGTGCCCCTTGCTCTAAACCCCAGGCGATGGCGTTGGTACCTCTTCTTCCTCAACATGGTGGGAAGCCGTGCATCAGGCCGGGGACCCTTCGGCGAGCGAGAGCCTGGGCGTGAGCCGCACTCCCTGGATAACGAGATGTAGTGGATGGGTTGTGGGGAGGGAGAGCTCTGACATGTACTTAATGACAGGGGAGGGAGAAGTGGTAGGAGCCTAGCAAAGTAATCAGGCAGCCTTAACTGTAGAAATGGCCTGAAAGAGGCACGAAACAGCCAGAGGTAGGAATAAATCCGCAGAAAATGGACGCGTTGAGGCTTTTCCGGGCGATGATGGGTTTGGCTATTACTGGCGATCAGGACATCAGTGTGGGTGATGGCAGCAGAGGTAAAAAGCCTCCAGGTTTTTTTGAGAACCTTGAGAAGCAGGGATCGGAAGGCTCTGGGAAATGCTCGCTCGGGCTGGAAATAAATGAAATGAGACTTAGGAAGACAGGGTGAGTGCTGAGCCTCCGTCTCCAAATGAGTGTTTCCGAGAGAAGCGGCACAGCATCTGTACCGCGGGGGTGACTGTCAGGTTCCTACTGCTCGCTTTCCCAAGGGCATTCCGGTCCCAGCCACAGCTGTAAATGCTTCCCCCAAATCCTTCCTAGACCACATCCAGACGAAGGTGAGGTTCTGGCTGCTGAGGCTGGATTTTCCTTCGCACTTGCCCGCCTGCGCCCTGTCGCAGTAGCTGTGACGAGCGTCTGTCCTTTCCTTCCGCCCTCCTTCGTGCTCGGGTTTGAGTGTGAAGAAATTCAGAGCAAAGATGATCCGGTGCTGTAGCGATGGGCAGGCTTGAGGGGGCTGGGGCTTTACTTGAGGAGGTCGTGCCGCGGGCTGGTAGGTGGACGCTGCCCTTGTGTGTCTTCGTCGATCGCTGCTGAAGGCCCAGAGCCACCCACGTTATCTGACGTGCTCTGCAGGAGCTCCTCTCCACCCCATGCAGTGCATCCCCTGTGGGCAGCGCGCTTTGCCCAGGCAGAGGAGAAGCCTGCTCCGCTCTCGGCGTCTCCGCTGCCTTGCTCCAACTTTTAGCAGGTGCTCTGGTAGCCGACTGCAGGAGGAGTTGGGGGTAGGAACACGATCTACCATTAAACGAGCACGCTGGGGCATTGCCAACAAAATAAATCTTTGTCCTTCTTTGTGCCAGAGTGAAGAAGACGAGAAACTGAAGAAGAGAAAGGAGCGGTTTGGCATTGTAACGAGTTCAGCCGGGGCTGGAGCTACAGAGGACACAGAGGTAAAACATTTTCGAGGATGCTGAGGGGAGCAGCGACAGTCCCGGGGGTGGCAGCGTGACTCCGCACACCTGGGACCTCGGGGAGCCCCGGTCCCCGACGCTGGCGCGGGGCTGACCCCGAGCTGTGGGTGGGTGCGCTCCTGTGGCCGCTCAGCCTCTTTTCCTTGGCAGTGAGCGTTGAGCTTCTGCCATCCGATCTGTTGCGGCTTTTCCCCTGGCTCCTGCCTGAAATAGGCTGCTCTGGAGCCTACCAAGCCACGGGAGCGTGCCAGCACGTGTCGGCATCCAGGTCCTCCTCATGCGGGATGGCACGGATGCTTCCAGAAGGGGCGGGGGGCACATCTGCTCTACTCCAGTTTCTCCCACCCTGGTTCCCCCTCCCCTTGGTTTGAGCTGACTCACTCTACCTGCTCCTTGTACCCTGTAATTCCCTGTGTCCTGGATGCTTCTGGACCCTCTGCTTCCCCTTGGATGCTATTGTAGGTCTTCATCAATAAATCCCCGGAGACTCTACAGTATAATGAGGATTGAGATGCTGACCCTGTTTCCAGCTTTTCTCCTCCATGCTTTGTTCTGTCCTCCGTGGTTTTGGCCCATCTTTTAAATTTGTAAGCTCCTCAGGGCAATTTTGTGCTCTTTTATGTACTTTTACGCTTTCTTCTGCTTCAAATTGTTCCAAGTCACCACGCAGGCTGTGCTCCGGCGCAGTAGCCCCTACGTTAAGTTAGGTGGGGAGTGCCGTGCACACCTACGGTGCCCCATAAATACGGCTCCAGTGCGGATCAGCCAGAGTCGGGCACCCCTCTCCTGGGGACAAAGGGACCCCTCCGGGGTGGGGACTCCTGCGTTAACAATCGAACGGCAAAGGTTGCGGCAGGGCGAGTGTTGGGTCTTGGAAACTGCTTAACCAGATGGCTCCTGGGCTCGACAGACAAGAAGTGGGTTTTGTTTGGTTCCTAAGAGCAATCTCAGCAATTCAGGTGGGGTTTAGGGGCTTTTTTTTGTGTGTGCGTGCGTGTTTTGTTTTGGGTTTATTGCAGAAACGCTGCCCTGCGTGAAGCGGGGAGCGGCGTTCCCAGCCTTCTGCCGAGCATGGGAGAATGAGCCCCTCCGGCCCGCGCGGAGGGGGCGGCTGGGCGAGGGATTCCATGCTTTTCCGTTAGGTCACTTGGAGATTGTGCCTGGAACAAAAAGGTCTTTTTACTGGTATTGTGTGCACTCAAATGCACCTTTCCCCTGGAGATTCTTGATTAGGGCTTCTGTTGCCCCCGGGCTATTTATCCTGCTAAAAATTAAGATTTATACGCCCCTCGTGTATCGGCTTAAAGGCATATCTGAGAGACGCAATAGTATATTTAATGCGTTTTAGTGTGTCCCTCTCACCTTTTCCATGAATAGGAGAGTGTTAACCCTTTGCCCTTTTACATTTCCCACCTCCCCACTGCCTGGAAGGGTTTCCAGGCCTCTGAAGTAGTCATTGTTCCCAGCTCAGCCCCTTTGTAGCGCATTGCCAGCAAGACGAAGTGACTTCAGCAGCACTGTATCTCAGGCACTGTATATTTCTGCTACTTGATTTTGGGGCACTCTTTGTCCCAAGGTTAGAATAAAAACTTTGTAGCTCCCTTGAGCTAACGTGGCGTTGATGCACTCAGGAAGGGGCCGGAGCCACCGAGCTCCGGCATTGTTACCGATACCAAACATGTAATAAATTCTCCATCGGGTTGTGTGAGACTTTAAAGAACTTGTTCATTTGTTTCTCTTTGGTTTTGATTTTTTTTTTTCTTGTAATTCCTCTCTGCAGGCAAAGAAGAGGAAAAGAGCAGAACGCTTTGGGATCGTCTGATGCCGGTCCTTTTTAGCTTCAGCCCGTTTGCAGTGTGCCTCTCGAGTGCGTGCATACTCTTTCTCTCTCTTTCCCCCACTTTCTCTCACTCCCACACTGTTTCTCTAGGTTTTAGTGATGAGTAGACAGGGAATCCCCCGTAGTTGTATGATTGTGCTACTTGGTTTTTTTTCAAGTTACGAAGTTTAAAAATGAAGAAAAGTTGAGCAAAAAGAAGAAACTGTTCTCGGTGCGTCTCCGGTAGCCCGCAGTCCCGCGGTCCGGTGGTTTCCCAGCTGCTGGTGGGGCCATTCGCAGCAGCTTGCACCGGAGGTATCGTCCGGCAGGGAGAGATGCAGAGTGTCCCGGTGCCCTCCGAGTGCCGCTGGGAAACGCCTGTGCAGGGGAGAGTCAAACCCTGCCCGGTAAATAGACGGGCAGATGGAGCAACGGTAGGAGCGCAGTGCCTGCGGTGCGATGAGGAAGGGAAAACGTTGAGGAACGGAGATAGAGCAGGGTTTGCTCTGCCCTCGGCAGATGCTTTTCTAGTTTAAGGTTTGAAGTGTGGTGTCTGTTTGCCGTCCGATGCCTTCTCCACCTCTCGGGCTGCCCTGGTCCTCTCCTCCTCCACCCTGTGAAATCGGGCCCCAAGGCTCAGCTGTGTCCTGGTCTCTTCCCAGCAGCCGGGACGAGAACGCGCCTCGTCTCGAGAGCACGATGCATTACACGAGTCCTGCTCTGGATCTCTGCTGTCTTACCCCTGGCTCGTCTTGAGATCTGACAGGTTGAACGTCAGGGAAGGATTTTCTCAATTATATTGTCTCGTGTTTTCAAAAATGGAAGTGGCGCGTGTGGTAGCTGACACGCGGGGCAGTTTCACGACTGAGAGTGAGGCTAATGGGAATTGTCAGAGCAAGAATTGCCGATTAACCCTAGATCAAGACTGGTGTCCTAAAACAAGGAGGAAAACGTAGCAATGCATTTGCAAGTGGAGCCTGTTGTCACCGCTTCATTTATCCCGCCTTGTTAAGCCCTCTGTGGCTTGTGGTGTTTCGCCCACATTTTCCAGGTTCCTCTAAGGTCAGTGATACGTTTCTCTCCTTAAACGACAAACCAGCAGAGTCTCTTTGTCCCACGTGTGTTCTCAGGCTGGATTTTATCTTGTCCTCTCTTTGCCTCAGAGTAGCTGCCAAGCTGGTTTAACTCGCAGACTTGCTGAAGGAGCCTCAGTCTTCTCCGAGCTGCCAGGCGGTGCAGGGGAGCACCGGCGTTATCCTGGGACCTGTGTTTTGAGGGTGGAAGCTCTTGGTAGCTGTGCAGGAACACGGTTCCTTCTGCTGCGTTATCCGTAAACCTTTCGGTGAAATTACGGAAAAAAATTTGGCCGAGGCACGTGAAAGGCAGCGCTGCCGCAGCGCGTGAAGCGTTTTTTGCTGCTTTAGGGTTTCAGGCAGCACCTTTGTTCTTGGGGAGCTGTAAAGAGCAATTCCCCGGGGTGGCTTGTGTGGGTGGAAGAAGTGGTGGCAGTGGAGAAGTGTAGGACCCCAGAGCCGGCGGCGCTGGGGCAGAGAGGAGCTGCCTGTGCCCTTTCCTCCTTTGCCTGCCTAGAGAATCGGTTTCACTCGCAAGTGTTGGTTCCCGCTGCATCTCCCACCCTGTGCAGAGCTTTCCCTCCCACAGATACCTCGGCCCCAGGCGTAAGCAGAAATCTGTCTGTCTGCTTGGATTTTTAGGTGGGCATTGTGGCTGAAATCCTTCTCTTGTCTGAAGACTGACGTCCTAGGATTCTTATTTCTGACCGTAACCTCGAGAGAGGTTTGCCTTGTCCGTGCTTGGTTCCTTAAGATGCTAGAGAACAGCGGGTGTGTGTACAAATCGAGCTTCTCAGAGGCTTATACCTGATTCTTAATAAGCAATATATATATATTTTTTAATGTAGAAGTCTTCAAACCGCTTCTGTTCCATTAATGTCTGCAGTCTGACTGCGTCCGCGTGCCCTCGGTGACTCTAAGCAATACCTTGGACGTTTGTTTACCTTCCCAAAGGGCAGCTAGAAGCCACGGGGCCCGGGTTACGTTGTGTGTCTTGGCTTGTCAGTGGCTGAGTGAATCGAAGCTCCCTTGCTCCTTCCTGATTTAATGTAATAACGTTTCTGATTTTTTTTTTTTTTTGTATGTCAGATTTTGTAAGATGTATTTTCTATTTGGCTCATCATCTTTTCGCTGGTTATTTGCTTGAAATGTTTTGTAGTGTGCCAGGGCAAACACTGCATTTCATTCTCGGTTTCATAATAAAACTGCTTCTCCAAGGCAATTCTGGTATCTGTCAGTTTGATGCATGGCGCGGCCGAGGCTCGGGGCCGGAGCGTGCCGCCGGGAGGGAGCTGGAGCAGATGGAGACTTGGCCACTGCCGCTCCTGCCTGCGCGGGGGTGGCTGGGGGGCAGAGACCCTGCCTGGCCGGGCCATCGCCAGCGCTTAGGGATTTTTTTTAACTTCGTGTGGCCTGGCCAAAGTCCCAACCCCGCCCTTGCCTCTCCGGATTGATCTTGCTGCTTCGTTCGGATGCAAATCTTGCATCCCGCTGGCCTCGGGGAGCTGCGCAGGCTCCTCAGAGCCGGGACCCGGCCGTAACCCAAATCAGGACTACGTACAAGTAACGGGGTGGTCGCTGCTTCTCACGGCCGATGGTTTGGTGCTGTAGACCAGGGCTCGTTGTAGAAGTTGGGGGGAAGCGCAGACACCTCTCGGCCTCGCCGTGTCTGCTTGCTGCAGGTCCCTCTGTC